CCCTATCCCTCTAAAGGTTGTGAAAAAGGGGTCCGAGAGGGAATGTCTCTCCAGACTCAAGCACCACAGGCGTCCCCATAGTGCAGGAATCAATGGACCGTGCAGTTTTTTGAGGGAGCGGAAATGGACAACCGCTATGCAACAGGGCATATAATCCAGGCTCTCGGGATTTTGGGGTACCATGGTCCCCAGCCTGTGCAGTCCCAGCTGCACTCCAATCATGCCTTGAGTGAGCCTTTTTCCCACACACAGGTGCAGCCTCCCCCGAGTGAAGGGGTCTGTGTGGGGCATCTCTCGTCAGGGAAAATTTCAGCCCTGGAGTCCTGCATGTCAAAGCAGTGGTAATGAACCTGGATCTGCCTGGCCGGCAGGTCTGTTATTTGGCTTCGGATGAACCGAGTGAGCCAGGAAAGTGCCCATGGTCCAAAGGCAAGGACCAGGAGCAGGCCTACAACAGGTCCTAGGAGGGAGGGAAGAAGGATTGTTAGCTAAGGGGAGTTGGAAAACCAATTCTAGAATCACCCAAGCTCTTGTTCTCCTTTTCTTCTTTTTTTCTTTTTTCTAGTCCTTTTCTAACCTACCATACTGACTACCCCGGTGTGGTCTGTAAAGAAGCAACATTCCTCTTTGAGCCACCCTGTTGCAGAAAGAGGAGATCCAGGCCTCTCCTGTTCTGTAAAACTACCTCAGCTAGGGAGGAAAGGGATGACTCGAGGGCAGAAATTCCCTGTTCAATTTGAGCAATATCCTCGTCTATGGACAGTCAAAGCTCAGAGTAATGTTGGTTGGACAGGACCAGAGAGGCAATTCCTGTGCCTGTTCCCATTGCTCCAACCCCTAGAAGGACTGCTAAGGTGATAGCAGTAACAGGCTCCTGTCAAGGCAGTCATCTCAGCGCGGCTTCTCTTCCTAGAGATCTAGGAATTGATCTGAGGAATAATAGGTTAGTCTAGGTGGAAGGGACCTAAGTGCCCTGAGTGGCATCTCTGGTGCTACCCTGTTTGCTGTGCTACCTACCAGCCACAGGCTGTGTCAAGCTGGCCCAACATGGCTATGACCACCTGTGACACCAAGGCCAGCAGGTCCGACAAGTCTTTCTGACACCTTGAATGAAAATTCAGCACTGCCCTTGGAAACATGACCCCTGCTGTCAGACTGGATTTGTGACAAGCAGTGTCCTTGCTCAGCCCAGAACGTGATTGACTATGGGACTTGTATACTGTGTGAAAGGTCTCAAACACAGTTTGCTGTAAAGTTCCCACTGTCCCCCCACAGGAACTCTGAGCAGAGTGATAACAGAGCTAAAGGGCTGGTGGGGGTTGTTGTGGGTGAGGACAACAGCCTGGAGGGCTTGCCGGAGGGACAGCATTTGAAACAGAAGAAGTTTCCTCAGGAGAGGGGCTATCTCTCCTGGGCAGATCAGGTGTATTTACAGCTCTAACCAGGCGTTCTGGTAACCATCTGGGAGCAGAGTGTATCTGGTCAAGAATGCAGGCCGAACCTCATCCCCAAATAAGAACTGGGTCGGGACCCTTCCAACGCCCCGTGAGGGGATCTCGCCACATGGCTAGTGGTCGGGTGGCATCTGGAGAAGGGTGCCAGTGCCTGTCAGCAGCAGAGTGCCCTGCAGCATCTAAGGTGAGGAAGTTGAGAACAAACAGAGCATGGCTCAATTGATCTCTAGGGGAGGTAAAATGAAGGTTAGAAGACTTGAGGCGAGCCAACCAGGTCTTTAGGGTCTGGTGGGCTCATTCTATTATGCCCTGTCCCTGGGGATTATAAGGTATCCCTGTGGTATGAATAATTTGTAAACTATCACAAAATTTTTTGAAGCCTGTGCTGGTATAAGCAGGGCCATTGTCTGTCTTTATCTTAGCTGGTTTTCCCAAGGCAGAAAAGGCAAGAATCAGGTGAGAAAGAACATCCTTTGTAGCTTCCCCAGCATGAGGAGAGGCAAAGATAAAGCCACTAAAGGTATCTATAGAGACATGGATAAATTTTTGTCTGCCGAATTCGGGGCAATGAGTAGCATCTGTCTGACAGATTTGGTTGGGAAGGAGGCCTCGAGGATTGACTCCCAAGTGTGGGGCAGGGTGAGAAACAACACAAGAGGGACATTGTTTGACAATTTCTTGGGTCTGTTGTTTAGAGATCTTAAAAAGAAGACGGAGGGTCTGAGAATTTAAAAGGTGGATCTTATGGGCAGTTTGGGCCTGTAGGACTGAGCCGACCATGACAGGGAAAGTTAGCCTGGTGGCGGCATCTGCCTGTGCATTGCCATCAGTTAATGGTCCAGGAAGATCACCATAGGCTCTAATATGGCCTATAAAAAATGGGTGTTGGCGAGTCAGGACAAGCTGTTGAATCTGGGAGAAAAGTGGGGTAGCGTTGGAGGTAGGCCTTATGGCTGGAGAGGTTTCTAACAAGGGGATGGAAAAGGCAATATAGGCACTATCTGTATAGATATTAATAGGTTGATCAGAATAGGTCTGAAAAACCTTTAAAATTGCTGAAAGTTCAACCAACTGCGCTGACTGGAAAGGCGTTAGGAAGGAGGTAGGGCGGCCTTGGGCCACAAAGGCTGCAACACCATTTATTGGTGAAATTATTAAGGCCACTCCACGTAGTTAAAAGGAGATTTATTTAATGGCGTAACTTACAAATTAAGGGATAGGTAGGTCGCGGAGTCTGGGGAAGGTGTATCGCAGTCCAGCGGTGTTCTCTGGAGCTCTGCTCGGTCCACCTCCACTATCCAGGGTCCCGCAACAGAGAGCGAGCGCGCCCGCCGATCCAGATCTCGGGTCCCCAGGTGCCTCCCTTGGCCCCGCCTTGTAGGCATGACAGTTGCCGAAGTCTCAATGGGGGTTGGAACTTCCAGATCAAAGCTGGAATGACTACCCACTACAACCATTAGCAGAACCATCGGTAAAGACTGTAAGTGAACGAGAAATGGGACCAGTTTTTGTAATTTTTGGAAATATGAAGGGATGTAGCCGGGCAAAATGGAGCAAGGGGTCATCTGGGAGGTGATTATCCAAGGTCCCTGTAAACCCTGCCAAGGCAACACCCCACTTATCTAAGGTTTGGAACAAAAACTGGGTTTGATCCTTGGAATAGGGTGTGAGTATGATATCAGGGTCCTTACCAAAATACTGGCGAGAGGTCTGTCATCCTTTCATAATGAGTGAGGCCACCTGCTCAGGGTAGACAGAAATGACTCTCGAAAGGGCAGCGGGCATGTGGACCCAGAGGAGGGTCCTGGGTTTGGACCTTATCTGGAGCAATCTGTAGTCCCAATCCATTAAGGGCTCTACTGAGTTCTGAAAAACATCGCTCAAGGGAGATGGGGTCAGGTGCAGCGAGGAGAAGGTCATCCATGTAATGTAAGATATATATCTGGGGCCAATTAAGTCTGACAGGGTCCACAGCCTGAGCCACGAATTTCTGGCAGAGAGTAGGACTGTTGGCCATGCCCTGGGGTAGTACCTTCCATTGGTAGCGAAGCATGGGCCCCTGAAAATTGGGGCGGGGAAGACTGAATGCAAAATAGGCTCTGTCCTCGGGGTGCAAGGGAATAGTAAAGAAACAATCTTTAAGGTCAATGACCATCTTGTAAAATTTAGCAGGAATAGCCACAGGTGAAGGCAATCCAGGCTGAAGTGCCCCCATAGACCTCATTACCTTATTTACTGCCCTTAAGTCTTGAAGGAGCCTCCATTTTCCTGACTTCTTTTTGATAACAAATATAGGTGTATTCCAAGGGGAGTTGGAAGGCTCAATGTGGCCAGCCATAAGCTGCTCCTGTACAAGCATAGTGGCGGCCTGTAGCTTTTCTTGAGTAAGGGGCCACTGATCCACCCAGACAGGGGTCTGGGTCATCCAGGTAATTTTGTCTGCATGGGGTACAGGAGGGTCAGTGGCCGCTACTAAAAACCCAAATATCCCAGCCCATGTCTATCCTCCTTGGGAACAGGCTGAATTGGTTGGACTCTCCCCTGAGCTGCCTTGCCCAAGCCTGTGCCAGGGATATAATTCATCCGTAGCATTTGTTGTGTGATTACTTGCATTTGTGAAAGTATGTCCCTTCCCCAAAGATTAACAGGCAGGCCCGGAACCACAAAAGGAGTGACAGTCCCCTGGTTTCCTTCCTCGTCCTTCCAGGAAAGTGTCCTTGAACTAATTAAAGGATTATTAGACTGACCGATTCCTTTTAAATCGGTGAAGGATGGAACCAGTGGCCAAGCAGATGGCCAGTGAGACTGTGAAATGACTGTGGTGTCTGCCCCTGTATCCAAGATACCCTGAAACTTCTTTCCCTCTATAGTAAGGGTGAGAGTAGGGCAATCCTGAGTAACAGGCTGGACCCAGTAGGCATCAGAGGAGCCCAATCCAGCTGACCCCGAGGGGTGTTTGTAATTGAGGGATTATCACAGACAGACGAGGGTAGAGGAACTAGCTGTGCCAGGCGTGTACCTTGAGGAATCGTGACCATGCCGTTTACAGTAGTGGCCAGAATCTCAATTTCACCTGAGAAATCACTATCTATTATGCCAGGGTAGACCTGGACCCCTCGGAGGGCCGCAGAAGCACGGCCAAGGACAAGCGCGCAAACATTAGGAGGTAAGGGCCCTGTCACCCCTGTAGGGATGACCTGAGCCCCTTCAAGGGAGTTTAATACTGTTTCGGCGGCACACAAGCCCAATCCGGCACTGCCTGGGGTTGCTCTCCGGAGGGAGGAGAATGGAACTGGGGCGGGAGAATTTGTTGAGGCTGGGGAGGCAGGAGGTGAGCGGACCTCAAGGCCCCAGGGTGCGCTCTTGGAGGCATTGGGGCCAGGGGCTGGCCCCTTTGGAAGTTTCCTGGCACCGGCGGAGGAAGGGGCTGACCGAGATAATTGACTTTTGACCTGCATTCTGTAGCCCAATGACGGCCCTTGTTGTAGCGAGGGCAGAGAGTGGAAGGCAGGGGCCTCATAGAGGCGGCCTCCTGAGCTGGCTGGGCTAAGGGCGCGAGGCTGTGACCTTTCTGGGGACATTCCCTAGGAAATGTCCGGGTTGTTTACAGAAATAACAGGTGCGGGCTCCAGGCTGTTGTGAAGCCCTGAGGGCAGCACCTATAGCTGATCCCATGGCATGGGCGGCGCCAACACCCGAACAGAGTCTCACATATTCAGACAGGTCCGCTCTGTTTTTATGAGGGCGGAGGACTTCCTGGCAGGCAGGGTTTGCATTTTCAAAGGCCAAGTGTTTAACAAAGGTGCTTTCGTGTTCATTCGGCCCAAAAAGTCTCTCAGCTGCATCATTTAAGCGAGAGACAAATTCACTAAAAGGTTCATCAGGGCCCTGAGGAGTCTTTGCTAATGAGGTGGTAGCTGAACCCTTTGGGGGCAGGCGTTTCCAGGCCCGAACCCCCGCCTTTTGAATCTGGGCCAGGAGGCCAGGAGGGAATTTTGCCTGTGCTGCATTTGTATCGTAAGGGGGGTTGCCGAGGAGTTTCTTTACTGTCCAAGTTTTTGAGGACGGCTGTTCAATATTTTTTTGAGCAACTTCTCGACAATTTTCTGTAAATTCTGTTTTCCAGAGGACAAAGTCACCCCCAGAAAGAGCCGCACGGGCAAGAAAATACCAGTCATTAGGGGTCAACCAATGTTCGCTCTGATTTTCCACCAAGGCTAATGTAAAAGGAGCCGTAGGACCATACTGAGCACAGGCAGATTTCAGCTTTTCAACTAGGCGGAAATTTAATTTGTGATAAGTCTGTCCTGGCGGGGGGTCCTCTGGTGACGCCTCCTCCTCCTCCTCTCCCTCTTCCCCCTCCTCATTTTGATCTTCCAAACCCCCTGAGGCGCCGCTCTGAGCGGCCACCTCGGATGAGTCCCCAGAGGTCTGGCTCCTGGTAACAGGAAATGCCAGGACAGGCTGAGGCTTACTCTTCGATTTACTAGATTTTTGAGATGGTTTTAGCGGACCGGGAGCCACCACTTCAAGGGCAAGATCTTTAAGTTCTTTATCAAGAGTTTTCAATTCCCTTAAAAGCTCAACATGTTCCCTGCGAGCCTGGAGGGCCCGTCTCAGTGAACCAAGATCTGGGACAGGGGGAGCCAACTCATCAAGAATAGGCCCGCAAAAGTGGGAAGCCGGAGAAACATAAGGAGGGGACATTGCGGAAGGGGGAACTGCCGGAGATTTTTGAGGTGGTATAAAAGGGCCCAAGGACTCCTGTGTTAAGGGGAGATTTTTGCAGGGGGGGCAGTCTGGATTATGGTAACGGGCTGCCCCTTTCTCTAGGGAAGCCTCCTTGGTGGGGTCTAGAGGGGAGTTAGAGGTCAAATTATTAACAGAGGGATGAGGATGGGCAAAAGAGGACTCCTGGGGATTCCTAGGTTTAAAAGTTGTGAGCATCCCCTCTTCCATAGAGCGCAGGTCGTGAACCGAGGGACAGACTGAAGGCGGACCAGAAAGCGCTCGGGGGGTCTTAGGGCAGGTAGAGGGGAAGCGAAAGGCTTCTTTGAAGATTTTTTCTCCTATATTAATAAGCTCTTGTATGTCAGGGGAATATTTATAGACCCTAAGAATGTCATTAATAAGCTTCCAGTAAGAAAATGTGGTGACGGGAACCTTCTCTAGTCCAAAAGTCCTGTAGTAATCATCTAAACAGTCCCCGAGACATGCCCAACTTTTTTCATCTATGGTTCCTTCTTGGGGGAACCAAGGACATGTGTCTATAATATAATCAAAAAAGGCTTTAAGATCTTTTTTCTTAACCCTAGTTCCTTGTATCTTGAGGGCCTCTTTTAGGCCAGAAAGGAATAAATCTTGTGATGATGTTGCCTGTCCCATGGCTCGTCACTTTCTTACCTGCATCGTCTCCGCCCTCCTCCGGGATCGCGTCCTGAACCGGGCGATTTCAGGGGGATCCAACAACTTCACCAAGGCCTTGGTCTTCCTCCGGGAGACGACGTTCCGAATCCTCAAGAAGTGGTTTCATCCACGTTGGGCGCCACTTTGCCCTGCCTGCAGGGCTTCAACGGGTTCTCAACCACCCTAAGGACGGAATGATAGAGACAGGAGATACAAGGAAATACACCAAGTCTAGATTCTGATCAAGGTGCAACTTTATTTTTCTCCAAGAGGGTTTATATAGTTTCTGCAGGGTGGGGGGAGCAAGAAGCTGTCATCTGCATAAGGTGGGGCAAGCTATCAGGATGTTTGTATAGGATGTTTACAGGGTGAAAGGGTCAAGGGCTCTGCCTCAATGTCCTGTTGCTAGGCAACCTGACTGTAAGATGATCTAGTTCCCTGTCTTATGGGGGTCTGTACTTTTCCACTAACTAGAGATTCTGTCCTTGTCCCTGACAGATAACTACAACTTCTGAGAGAACCAAACCCCCTCAGGAAGTATTGCTTGTCCCCTCTGCGTCACTAACAGGAAATTACAAGCCTAGTTCTTTGTCCACTCAGGACTGTATGGAGGCAACAAAGCAAGTTGTTCCTCGATATCAGAGTCCTGACCTGGAGCAGCATGTGTTGAGCAAAAGGAAACTACTTAGAGTCTTTGTACCCTAGGACAGTGGCCCGCAAGGCAGCCATCAGAATTCTTCCAAATAATGGAGACTGCAAATTCATAAGGGCTATGTAGTGGTCACCAGAGCTTATCACAGACAAGAGTCGGAGACTTCTGGAGACCAGTACAGACTGGGTGAAGGAGCGAAGGAAGGTGTTAAGGACTCAGGCTTTGAGGCGTCTGTGTTCACAGGAGATGGGACTGTCTCTGAAAGCTGCCTCCTTGGTACCCCTAATGGGAAGGCAAAGGGCAGGGACCTGATTCCAAAAGGATGGTGATCTCTTAGTTGATGGTCAGTAAGAGGTCTTTGAGACTTCAGCTAAGGGTCTGGAAAGAAAGGGTGAAGTTGGAGTGTCACCTTCAAAATCACAAACAAGATCTAGGGAAAGAAGGATAGTGGCATCTATCTGAGCTGGGCAGGGCTTAGGGCCTGCTCCTTCCCTGCTGACTTGCCTGCCCCCACCACTGCTGAGAAACAAACCCAAACACAGGATAATCTGATGGATTACCAATACCCATAGGACTCAGACTTTGAAGAGAGACCATTCAAGAAAAAGAAAGCATAAATGCTCCAAGGATTGCATCTGGAAAAGGGAAGCAAAGAGGCCAGCAAAATGGGAGAAAGGAACTGGTGAGACTCACCAATATACACAAAAGAGGAGACAGGAGGGAAGAGTGTCCCTAGGGGAACCTGAGCCACAATGATGTTAGGACAAAGAAGTACAGAATGAGATGGAGCTTCATGGGTCTGCCTGGGCCCAAAGCAAATGGAGGTTGGGGCAGTCAGAGCCCTCTCAGTGAGGAGGTAGCTTTGGGTACAAGTTGCGCAGCCAAGTGGGCCAGACCAGACCCTGTGTGTCTTGCAAGAGAGCTTTTTCTGTTGCAAGTTGATGCGCCCTGTCTTCGCCTTCTGATCCCGATGCCAGGACATGCCTGGCTTGGAGGGCAATGCACGTGAAGTGAAAAGCAGGAAGCCCTAGGCCTGGGCAGCAAGTTTTCCATGGGGCAAAGGCTGTCCCCAATGCTGGGCCCTACTGAGACCTTTTGTTCTGGGCTGGTAGACACAGAGAATTAGAGAACAGCTTTTCAGAGACTCTGTCCTTCCACCAGGCTCTGGCCAGATGCCCTTTCTGGGGCTTATTTGGAAGTCTCTTCCAATAATGAAAGAAGCTTTCCATGGACAAGTAGGTGACAGCAAATCTGAAGAGCATGCTGGTGTCTCTACGTGGTTTAAGAAAGAAGCAACAGCATAGATATCTACTCTTAACTACATTCTTTAAGGCCTTTTCTTCATTGAGAGGACTATGACTAGTATCCCAGATCAAGGACCAAGGGCTGCTGTTCCAGGGTGAGGGCCTGGGAAGAAGACAGCTTCCTGGATCCCTCATCATCTGGAAGATTCCCAATCTCTTCTGTTTTAAGCTCAGGCAGCCTTGAGAAGCTCATTTCTGAGGAGGCTCAAACTGGAGAGCCAGTTTGGAAAAGGGGCAGGCCTTACTCTAGGGAAGGCCCCAGGAACTCTGCCCAGTTTCTAGGCCCAGAAACTACATGGAATACACATTTAGCGTGTATGCACTAAGTGACTGGGACCCTAAAAGGTCCCTGCCAAGAGTCAGTGCCATTACCACATAGTGTTGTTTGTCCATTTGTCTCCTTCCCCACCACAGTGAAGGGGGAAGCAGGCTGTTTCATGAGACCTCGAAAGACAATAAGGCTTCCCAGTTCCTCTTGCCAGAGTGCTCTACTTATGATGCGGTCTTATGAAGAAAGCAGAGCTGTGGGAACTCCAAGCTTTTCTCTGTAAAAGATGAGGCTGGGAACAAGGTTTTTCAGACATGGTTTGACCACTTTGAAGATGGAAAACAAAAAACAATTCAGCTTAAGAAGGGAGTAACACGTGGGGACCAGGGGCTTTCTCAGGATTTCTCTTCAGCCACATTCCCAAGGTGGCTTTCTCTGGATCAGCTGCTTTGACTATTTGAGCTGTAGGAGATCGGGCCACTTTCAGGTCTTCACTGTTTCTCTATTGTTGGGGAGAGGATCCATATAGGCCTGGTCACTTTAACCCTAAGAGATTTTCCGAGACTGAACCCACGTGTCCTAACTGAGCATGTGGGACAAACACTTCCCACCCTTCCCCACTCTTACATTTGTTTGCTCATCATACCACAGCCCCATCGTATGTGTTTATCCACTGACGTATTTTTCACCAAGCAGCTATGATCCTGAACTGGATGCCGGACTGAGTGTGCCCCTCAGTTTTTCACCCCAGGTCTTCATGGAGGAAGTGGGGTTTCTTCCAGATATTCTCTAGAGACTTTGGGTAGACCTTAGCCATAGAGATCCCACAGGGTATTTCCCACTCTGCACCTTCAGAACGAAAACCACTAACAAAGAATGATAGTCAAAAACCAATTAGGATATGTTTGTGAGGTAGAAAGAAGTGAAATGAGCTTCTGTCAATCAAGTTCTCTTGTCTTAAAAGGGGGTTGCTAATTTGAACGTTGAAGTTAGCATAATTTCCCTTGACTTTCTAGTATTTTGAGGAATCAGGAAAAATACCTGTTCCCAGTCCAGTGGGGAGTATATTCTAAAATTCTGGAGACCTCAAATAAAGGAGGGGTTCTGAAATAGTACCATATAGTCTCACACAGGATGAGAACTAGAGTCCCGAGAACAGCTCAGGACTCTGAAAAGTAGGAGAAGTGAGTGACCCCAAATTCTTGTGTGTGTGTGGGGGGGGGCATGTCAAGTATTTGTGGGGGCTAGGAATATATCTGGAAATGCAGAGGGCCATGGCTGGGTCGAAGAAGACAGCGATGTTTGAGTTGATAGTCAGTGGGGAGCCCCAAGGGGAATCACTAAAAGGAGTATGAAGAGGGGAGTGATGTTGGAGAATCACTAAGATGCCATTTCCACATGATGAGAAATGGAGCCCAGGACCAAGTGACAAGTTTAAGTCTTGTGTATTTTAATACAGCTCTTCTTGTTCTTCTTTTTCGATGTTTAAGAAAAGCTGTGACTCAGGGAGGAGGCCAGGAAGGTTGTCCTTTAGCTTAGAGGATGGCAAGGAGTGAAGTAGGCTTTGTGCCCCATCCCCTTTCCAGGTCACTGCCATCTTGGCAGGTTTATGGTGTAGATCACAAAAGGTAACTCCCAATTGCCTCAAAAGCCTGGAGACCTGGGGATACTAGAAAGTCAATGAAATCCCATGGTTCCTTCTATAAGCAGAGATGGAGAGACATAGAAAACAAAATTGAGAGTGGAAACAAGCATAGAAAAATGGGAGAAGATCCTACCAAAGGTAGGTACAAAAGTCAGCAGCAGGGAACCCTGGCCTCACAGAGGTGAGACGAAGAGAGATACTAAAATGGGAACTAGGTTGTGCTCCAGGCTGGCAGCTCACCAGGAGAATTATCAAATCCTTCTGATTCTCACGGTTGAAAGAGATAGAATCTAGGAAATGAGGAATTTTCAGAGGAAAGAAAAGGAAATCTCTCAGGATGGGATCAGCAAGATTCTGTCTTGTCCACACACAAGAAGGCACATGCCTTCTACATAGAGACCCATCACCTTGGTTCCCAGTGGTCTTTACCTTCGAGTCAAGTAGGTGGAGGGCAGGACCCAGATGAACTAAAGCTGAAAAGAAGGAAACAAACTCAAGAGCACAGGCCTGGCTGGGCCTGAAAAGGTGACTCTTTGCTAAGCCAGCCCCTGTGCCAAGCACCTAGCTTGGAAGATGAATGTTGACCCATTTTTAGGGGTTCTTTGTGAAGGAACTATGCAAAAGGACGCACAGGTAGAGCCTATAGGGGATGCCCTTGATCTTGGGGGGACCAGCTACAGTTTCTTCTCTCAGGAACTACTACTCTGAATATAGAGGCCCAGAGCCCTGAATCCCAGCTCTGTACAGCCTTCATATAATGGTGTGGCAGTCCCAGGCTCTTCTGGAAGTCCTCTTGACTTCATTTCAGTCCTTCATCCTACTGACTGGCTCTCTTCCAAAAGAGCCTTAAGCTACACAGGAAACTCCTAAGCTGTGTAGCTCTATACGTACAGTACAGGAACCCTCTGCCTCTCAGAAACAGAAGTGTAATGGAGATTGGATAGGCTTCTTTGCATAGAATGGCTTATCAGCAGACATACCTTAAAGCAGGAAAAGATGCCCGCACAGCCAAGCAGGGCAACAATTTGCAGTCTTTCACAGAATCAAGAGATTCCTTGACTTCTGTTAAGCTCCACCCAGGAAGCTTCCCATTTTCCTGATTCCTGACAA